CCCCCCCCCCCCCGAGGCTACGGCCCTGGTACAAGGTCATGATAATCTATGTACCTGCACAGAAATAGATTGAATTGAATTATAATAATTATTAACAATAATAGTAAAACATTCATTGCAGAGAGCAGGAAATAGAAAAAAAAAAACATTGCCATTTATCACTAAATTTGGGACATTCAATGCACTTCCTCTATCACATTTTTGTTTCACAGGTTCCTTACCCTCTGCTGATGATGGTATCATTAATGGAACTGTATGTGTAAAGAATGCCACTGTTTGCTGTGCCAAGACATATGACATACAGATAAAGAATTGTTCTACATACAATGTATATCATCTGCCACCTGTGAGTCAGTGTTCTGAGCGTTACTGCATAGGTGAGTGATTGTCTCAAAATTTTTCATTGATAATGAGCTAGGATACCTTACTGGAATTTTAAAGTGACTGTTTGAACTGTAATCTATAATTTGTTCATTTTCTCACCCGGCACCCCCCCTTCCAGAAAAAAACCCTTAAATGTGCATTAATTTGAAATATGAGCATGTTTTGCAATGCATAAAAATCAAAATAAAGCATTGCATGTAACTGCATGATGAAAAAATAGTAAAACACAGCAGCAAGTTTTAATTAGACATGCATTTTTAATGGTTGTATATGGAAGAGATGACTCTAAAAGTTTTCTTTCTTCATCTGTTTTATAACTTATTTAGGTGATAAGGCACTCTGTCCCCCAGGAACTCTATCAGAAGATGGTTTTGAACCGGGTTGTTCAGGTAAGGTCTTTATTTTTATTTAAGAGTTATGCATATGATATAAAATTTTTTACATTTTGTGTAAGACTTGACAAACATAAATATAGATGGATAACTTCAATTTCTTGAATACATATTATTTTAATGAATTATCAGCAGTATGATCTTAATAAAATCAAGTCAAAATAAAAAAGATAAATGATGCTAATGAAGTATTTCATTCTGTTAGATAATTTCCCAAATATAACACTGCAACCAGACATTCAAGTTGATGAAAGAGTTGAACGTTATATTTTTGGAAATAAACCAAAAAAGGAGCTTATGTTCACCTGCCTGCCCTTCTATGATCAAGTCCCTGCAGACAAGCTGTCTCTGCTCTTCTTTGATGTGAAATGGTACATTGATTCCCAACTTGTTCATGAGGAAGACAACGTTGATGTGGCTGATTTGCCTGCACAGCTCAGAGAAAGTGTCTGGCTGGGCAAATCCATTACTCTTGGCTTTCAGGTGAGGGGAATCATGTGATATTTTTATGGTTCCATTGTGAAGTTAATTGACAAATTAAACTGCAATGTGTTTGATGATTGATGGCATTTTATAAGGTCTTTTTCTGCTTTAGACCATAAGATGAAGCAGGGTCCCGGATGATATATATATATATATATATATATATATATATATATATATACCTATATACCGTACTTTACTGAGGCATATAAAATTTTTAAGCAAACATAATTTAATATTTGACTAATATTTCCAGGTAAAATGCAGTGTAAAGGGAAAGTATGTGCAAAATGGAGAACTTATAGGTGCCAGAAGTTTGGCTGTTGAAAGTCCAGAGTTTTTTGCAGGTATAAAGGTAAATGTTGCATTGGTAGGAAGAATATAAGGTATATACAAAACTGTTAGGATCATGCTGAAATATAATAATAATAATAATAATAATAATAATAATAATAATAATAATGATGATTAGATAATAATAATAAAACTTTTTACATGTATTTTAACATATACATAAAAATTACTCCATGTAGATGTTTTACTCAGTATGTACATGTACACTAGGCAGTATATGATTATATTATTAGTCAATATTCTTATTATATTATAACTGCAGTATTGATTGTGGATTTGTTTTATTAATTTGTTTCTATTTATAGTGAGCATGGAAAATTATTTTTGAGTACCTGCATGCATGCTGTTGTATGTATCTTCATTTCAGGTGCTGAATTCAAGTGACTTTCCAATTAGAATGAAAGAAAATGATCCCAATCCTGCCATTATAGCTTTTCAACCAACAGTGCCAGTTCTGTGCACAGACATTCCAGTGTTTGGCATTTATTGTGAGGATATCTTTCTCCAAGTGGAAGTCCGCATTCCACAACAGTGGAAACAAGCACTGTGTCCATCAGAGGGTGGAGTTAGTCAAAGACAGGAGGCAGTGGTGGAGGCATGTGGTATACAGATAAATGCTAAGCACTGGAATAAAACTGTCACCTTGAAAATAGCCCCAGTCATAGATGGAATATATGATGGAGACCAAATCACCAAAGTGCTGCTGTCAACAGCTGATTTTCAAAGTCACAAAGCTTGGAGCAACTACAGACTGCCAGATATACCAGTAAGGGGATGCTCAGAATGAGTTGGGTTGCGCTAGCTAGTGTGCCCTAACTTGATACACAGGGACTCTAACTGAATGCAAACAGGCTAACACACCTCTTTTTTTCCATCATGATCATATAATCACCAGCTTCTCTGTACGGTAAAGTCTTGAAAATTTCGTCGCTTAAAAATAAATTAATAATTTTAATTGTGTAAATCCGACTAATTTTTCAAAATTACCTCTCCCCGACTCCTGGGTATGACGAAATTTTCAAAAATCCGGCCTTTGGGCTTTTATCCTTTGCGGGGAGGGGGGTTAAAATTATGATCTCCCGCTGACGATCTTCGGCAAACTAAGTTCCTTGAACTAATATGAAAAGTGCATTTTATTATTGCTTACATCGCGAACAATCTCCCGATGAAGATATGAAAATTGCCTTTTCGTCTAGCTAGGATCGCGAACGATCTCCCTCTGATGATCTTACGCGAACAAAGTCCTGAGGATATTTCGCGAACGATTCTCCGCCGAAGATATACCTTAAGCGGGGGAGGGGGGCGGATTAAAGATAAAATGAAAATGAATATTTTCTAAAAATCCAAAGTGTGTGTGTGTGTGGGAGGGGGGGGGNTCGCGAACGATCTCCCATTGATATGAAAATTGCCTTTTCGTCTCGCTCGGATCGCGAAAGATCTCCCTCTGACGATCCCACGCGAACAAAGTCCTGGAGATATTACACAAACGATTCTCCGCCGAAGATATGCCATGAGCGGGGGAAGGGGGGGGGTTAAAGATAAAATGAAAAATATATATTATTTATAAAATTTAAAGGGGGGGGGGTTAAATAATGATCTCCCGCTGACGATCTTCCACGAATGAAGTTCCCTTGAACTAATATGAAAAGCGCATTTTATTCTTGCTTACATCGCGAATGATCTCCCGCTGAAGATATGAAGATTGCCTTTTCATCTCTCTCGGATCGCAAACGATCTCCCACTGATGATCTTACTCAAACGGAGTCCGCTACAAATATGAAAATTATCTTCTCGTCTTGTTCGGATCGTGAACGATCCGTTGATGATATTACGCGAACGATTCTCGCATTGCGAACGATCTCCATGTACGAGCCAGGTAATCGTTAAATGGTCCTAAATTGCTCAATGGACATGAATAGAAGTGACGGGTACATTTCCCTTCGAGATAATATCTTGATTTTTCATTGTGTCTTCCTCATTCAGGACAGCCGCCGATAACAATAACGGCGTTACAACTGACAGAGCCGCGGCCTGTGACTTCTATTTACCGGCTTGATAACGCACCTTGAGCCAGGTAATAGTAATGACACTAAAGACAAATGGCCGACATTCCCGCATTTGAGAACGGAAATTCACATGTAAACAATCTATATTGTGGGTAGCCGCTCGCATGGGCGCACTATTGTTCCTATCTCCCATTGAGAGTGTTATCGGCAACGATATCCTGATCGTATTATTGTCCTGAATCAACTGACGCATTACCTTCACGGTTGAGCTGGACAACGCGGCCATATTAGGTGACGAACTTTTCAAAAATTATCGAGTACCTGATTTTCAAGGTCGACGAAGTTTTCAAAGTGAAAAAAAATAACGTCGGCGGAAAATCGTCTGCCGACAAAATTTTCAAGTAAGACGAAATTTTCAAGACTTTACCGTAATCTACTCTGTGCCAGGAGGAGGCGTGTATGTTAATCTGATTCATTTAATGAGTGTTTTTATGGAGTAAATGGGCACTAGCTATAGGAACCTAACTCACTCTGAACAGTCTTTATATGGTTGTTGTTGTTAAAAACTGATTTCTTTGATGAAGCGGCCATTAATTCAAGAGTTCTTCAACAGGCCCTTCTGCTGTCATTTGGATACATCATTAATTATAATTACTACCCATGATGTGTGTTTGTGTGTGCATGCATGTGTGTTTGGAGGGGGGGGGGGGGTAATTGTGCTGAAATTAGTTTTCATTTTAGTTTGGGTTATTAAATAGCTGAAAGTTGTTTCCAGAAGAATGTTAAATACTGTACATGTAAATTTGTAGACCTCTCCTTGTGTATTTGTAGCCATGTTTGTTGCTTCACTAGCCCCTGTGCTCTCACATAGTGTATTAGGGTTAAATTATTGTATAACAGGTAGTGTCATGTTCATTCTCGTGGGGAGTGGCAGCCAGACCTCATTGACCAGTAACCCCCATGTTAAAGGGATAAGTGGTGTGATGAATCTGGTGAGGGGTGTTAGCTGAATCTTATTGGCCACATAGTTACACTTAGAATGTTCTTCATTCACCATTACATGATACCAACAAGATACGCACTCTTCTACCGATAGTACTAGAAAGAAGCATCTCTGTTCAGTGTAGGAGTTAAAGTCACTGGGAATCTCTAGCATGTTTTCAGAACTGCTTTACACATTTTAGCCAGTGAGACAACTTCTTTTTACTGCTGCCACATCTCAACAAGACATGTGTTGTATTGGTGTGCTGTCTTATGACAGTAGTCAACAGTCAGAATGGGGCCGTAGCAATAGTCCGAAGGTTCAATAGGCCAAAGGTTCAATGATCTGAATGTTCAATATAGAACCTTAGGACCAACGAACCTTTAATTAAAAACTAATGAACCTTAATTTGGACTATCGAGACCCCCCCCCCCCCCAGTACAGTAATGATGAGGGACATACTGAAAGGGCTGCAGCCCCCACATTTTTGGCAACAAGTGTAATGATAAAGGTGACAAATTGTAAATAATTGTTTATTATCATTGCTTCTTGTAACAGAATGACTGATTTTCTTAGATATTGGTGGTTGATACAGATATGACCTTAAAAGGACTAGTGTGTATGGCAAACAGTGACCCACACATGATGACCTTTGATGGTGTGTAAGTATCATTTATGATGTGCTCTGTATGTTACAGCAAGGAATCATATTTTTCTTTGAATTGAAAAAAGTCTTCCATGTGAACTTCAATGTCAGCTTCTCAGTCAGCATCTCAGAATGTGATCCTATAACCCAGTCCCTTAACAATAACCAACATTGGACTCTATTGTCTGTCTGCATGTCTCTACTTAATTATTCTGACCTGTACCGTTCCTTTATATCTAATTCCTTGGTTATATAAATTTGACGTGATAAAATATATGGTATGTCTTCTCAAAGCTAACATATTAAATAAGGATCTGATAGAGATGAGGATTATGGGGGGTTTTCCTTCTTTTCTTTTATGATGTTCTCCACTAAATTGGGAAACCCATTTTTAAGAATTTCGATTCAATAATATTCCTAATGTATTTCAGTCGATATGAATGCCAGCTTCCCGGAGAATTCATAATGTATAAACACCGAACTCTGCCAATCCAGGTATGATTACATTGTATGACATAAATACCCTTTGATGTGACTGGTACATGTATCCTTTGTGACATCAAATTTAGTTTTGTCTCTTGCCATTTTTATGTACAGACACAGATGTGTCTGTACATATAGCCATCATCTGCGTCTGTCGTCGCCGTCGCCGTCGTCGCCGTGCACTTTTACCGATAACATGATAAGTGGAAAACTGTTTTTTCTTTTGGCTTGAAACTTACAGAACTGATGAATATTCATAATACGCAGGTCAAGTTCGAAAATCAGCATGATCAGGTCACTTATAGGGAATTTATGCTGTTTTTTCACTTTTTTCAGCATATAGGCAGCACCGATAACATGATAAGTGGAAAACCATTTTACCTCTTGGCTTGAAACTTACAGAACTGATGAATATTCATAATACGCAGGTCAAGTTCGAAAATCAGCGTGATTGGGTGATTTTTAGTGAATTTAGGCTATTTTTTCTCTTTTTTCAGCATATATGCAGCACCGATAACACCATAAGTGGAAAACCATTTTACCTTTTGGCTTGAAACTTACAGAACTGATGAATATTCATAATACGCAGGTCAAGTTCGAAAATCAGCACGATCGGGTCACTTATAGGGAATTTATGCTGTTTTTTTTCACTTTTTTCAGTATATATGCAACACTGATAACACAATATAAGAAAAACAGATAGGCCAATTGTCATTATACTCACAGGGGTGGCCAATCTTACTAAAACGCAGGTTGAGTTGGAAAATCAGCATAATCGGTCCATTATTTTAGAGGTTATGCTGTTTTTTCACATTTCCTCACATTCAATTCTTAGGCATGTTAACAGTCTCATTATTGAACTAATAAGATACGTAAATGTGTTTGTTTGGCATTTCCTGCATCTTTACAACATTGTTAGTTGATTTTGTAAAAATGATGGTAAACTTGTTATCATGTATTGTGTAATAAAGTGTCAAAAATGGAAATAAACACATATCATTGCAGTTTGTCAGATTCAATCATCCACTATGTTCAGAATCTCATAATGGAGGAAATTGGACATATAACACTGTCTTATTGACATTTTTCCCATCTCATCAATTTTCTTAGTTGGTCATATAAAAATGGCAGTAAACTGTTTATTTTGTTTTATGTTAAAAAAGTCTTAAAATAGAAACAAACCCATTTCAGTGCTGTCTTGTTTCACTTTTTTCAGCATTTATGTAGCACTGATAACACAATAAGTGAAATACCATTTTACTTTTTGGCTTGAAACTTACAGAACTGATGAATATTCATAATATGCAGGTCAAGTTCAAAATTCAGCATGATCCGGCCATTTTTAGGGAAGTTATGATGTTTTTTCACTTTTTTCAACATATATGCAATACAGAAAACGTGATAAGTTCGAAATTCAGCATGATCCGGCCAATTTTAGGGAAGTTATGATGTTGTTTTTTTTTTCAAAATTTTCAGCATTTTTATAACACGGATAACAAGATCAGTGTAAAAATGTTTTTCCCTTTGGATTGTAACTGATGAATATTCATAATACGCAGTTCAAGTTTGAAAATTGGCTTGATTGGACAATATTTACAACAGTTATGCTGTTTTTTCCCTTCAGCATATATGCAACACTGATAACACATTTTAAGGAAAACCAATCAGCCTTTTGTCTTGCAACTCACAGCAGTGATTAGTCTGACTAGTATACAGATCAAGTTTGAAAATAAGCTTGATCAGTTAAGTTTTGATGAAGTTATTAGTCTAGTCTTTTTGTATATAAGTGTTTTTTCTTCAGATTTAATTCTTAGGCATGTTAACAGTCTCATTATGTAACTAATCAGATATGTAAAAGTGTTGTTTTGACATTTATTGCTTCTTAACAATATTGTTAGTTGATTATATAAAAATGACGGTAAACCTGTTATCGTGCATTGTATAATAAAGTATCATAAATGGAAAGGAACTCATCATTGCAGTTTGTCAGATCCAATCATTCACTATGTTCAGAATCTGCGAATGGAGCAAATTGGACATTTAAAATTGTTCTATTGATATTTTTCCTATGTCAACAATTTTTCTAGATCATTTAAAAATGACAGTAAATTGATTATTTTGTTTTATGTAAAAAGGTGTTGAAAATGGAAAGAAAATCATTTCAGTACAGTTATCTCTTGTTTACATTTTGGCATTTTGAATGTGTGACTCTGAACTTCCATGGTCTTGAAGACCTTCCCATATCACATTTTCTGAATATCCATGATACTTTTATTTTTTCATAAAGAATTGATGGTCATTATGCTGTTAAGTATTGTGTTATATTGCATGAAAGTTGAAGAAATCCGTATTTTGGACACTGCTGCCAGGATAGCGATTAAGGGAAAACCATGTTACTTATGATACTCAAATTTACTGAAAAGTTTCATAAGACTGAAGTGCAGATTGTGTTAGAAAACCAGTGTGATCGTTTTCTGTTTTGGAAGCAATGCAATTCTATAGAGTGAACTATGGTGCAATAAATGTATATGGCAGTATATTAATTCAGGGTCATAAAGTAATTTGCTTAATTGATTTTCAAGTGGCCATTAAATGAGATTACATAAAACACACCTTCATAAAGTAATTTGCTTAATTAATTTTCAAGTGGCCATTAAATAAGATTACATAAAACACACGATGAGATTTCATTGTAAAGTCCCCTGGATATATCTCTCTTAACTGTGTCACATAATTAGGAATCAGTGATTATTATGCAGGTAAGTGTTAGTCATGTTAGTAATTACACAGCTAGATTTAAAGTTTGAATAGCAGCTTTATTGGAATTTTTTGTTATGTTTTAATTTACAATTTTTTTAAAATTATTTTTCAAACACTAGCATCTTCAAGATATCACTTTCTACTCCCATCCACCAGAAGCACTGTGCATTTTCTGTTTTTCCACATAAGGAGTTGTGTTGGTTTTTATGTCTTTAAACATTGTGTAATTATATTATTTTATGCACTGTCATCTTTTTTCACATATTGGGATTTTCATTATGTGAATTTGAACTCTCACATATGGTCCTGAAACTGTAATCTTATTGACCATGTTATTCTGTTGTACAATTTGTGAAATTTTATCTTTCATATACTGGCATTTTCATTGTGGGACTTATAACTCCCAAGGGCATGTAACATTTAACTTTTATTGATACTACCTGTTGTGCAATATTTGCAACTTGACTGTTCTTTTTGGNTTTCAAAAAAGAAATACAGGACTAAAATGCAGCCCGAGTTGGAAAAGTAGTCTAATTGGCTTCTTTTTCTGGAAGTTATACATTTTCAAAGTGTGAACTTGAACTCCCATGGGCCTGAAGCCTTATGCTTGTTACACATTTTACATTGAGCATAATTAAAATTTGATGTTGAATTTGCAGTTTAACATAATGATTAATGTACTTTTGCATCAGAATTGACAGTAGCCTATTTTGTGCATAGTTATTTCCTGTTTTTTGTCTGTACATTTGACAGCTTTGCTGCCTTGTTAAATATCATTTTCTGTCTTATTATTATTTCTAAATTTCATCTTGTTTTGCTGTACATTGATTATTATCTACATCTGAGACAGCTACCTGCTGTTATGTAATTTCAGAATGAAGAATACTAGGTTGGCATATTAATTTTATTTATAAATGCAATATTTTTTCTATAATCTTTTTACCTTGTCTCCAATATTTTTTATTTTTCGTTTCTTTACAGGTGCATGGTTTCTTCAAAAAGTGTAATAATGGACGTGCTTTTTGTCCTTGTGCTGTCACAGTCATGTCTGGAGGTGATCTGTTTATTTTCGACAGATGTAGAGCTGGAACAGGGTCTGAAACAACTAAGGGCATCAAAAGACCAATGCGTTCAGGACTTTTGGGTTGTGAACATGGACAAATGAGAGTGGAGTCATTTAATAATGCAAAAGATTTTAAGGTTTGAGCTTTATTTTAAATGCTGATTTATGATACTTAAAATAGATATCCACACAACTGCTTATTTATGAAATTTGAGAATATACTAACCTTGGTAAAATACATAATGTGCAGTTCAAGCTTCATGCACTTACTACATCAGAAATTTTATCATTTAGCCAAGCCATAACTTAATTCTACATTATAATTTGAACTTCTCTTATCATTTTCAGTAAGAAATGAATTATCTTAACTATATGGCAAGTATTTGATATACCATTATGAACCTATTATTGTCTTTGAGACAGTTCCTGGTTCAGAGTAAAGTTAAACCAAACTAATCAGAGAAAAATAACAGCACCACAAATAAAAATCAACTAGCAATTATATTTGGCTTCATTGTGCATCTAATCAGTATCATTTTGGATGTATATTTCAGATATATTTGCCAACAGGAGGTTATGTATATGCCAGATCATATTATTACATAGATGACTATTACATGAATATCCACATTCACCCAGGGTCTAGGGATGTAGAGTCTACTTTAGGGCTCTGTGGAACTCTGAATGGAAACAAAAATGATGATTTTCTACGACGTGATGGTACAACAGACCCTATCTCATTGTACCCCAATGATTTCTCACTGTCATGGAGGTGAGACACATTTCACGCTTTGGCAAGCAATAAACAATCAATAGACCCAGATTAATATCTAGATTAATTAACAGTTATACAGAAAAGTGTTTTTATTGAAGAAACAACTTTTAACTCTTAATTTAATTCACATTGCCTCATTGCTGCTTGAGTTGCTTCATTCATTTAATTTAATTGTGTTCAGGGAGTGTTTTCCCCATGGAGTTGATCAGGTCAACATAGAAAGATTCAGTGGGAATGCATGCCCAACTTGCACACCTATCAGACTAGCACAATTGATCCACTCACACCTAACACACTGCACCTTACTTTGAGCTGTTGCAGCTGTGAAGAATAACAGTAAACAATGCCCGGTCACTTATATTTGAAACCGGTAGCTGTAGTGGACTTAAACCAGTTATGTGATCTACGTACGCCCTATTTGAATTTTAATATGTCAACTGAAATCAACCAAATTGAGATATTTTTATGTACAGACACAGATGTGTCTGTACATATTGCCATCACCTGCGTCTGTCGTCGCCGTCGCCGTCGCCGTCGCCGATCATGTCGCCGTCGCCGTCGCCGTGCACTTTCAGCGTTAACACCATAAGTGGAAGACAGTTTTACTTTTTGGCTTTATATTTACAGAGCTGATGAATATTCATAAAACGCAGGTCAAGTTCGAAAATCAGCATGATCGGGCCATTATTGTAGAATTTATGCTGTTTTTTCACTTTTTAGCATATTTGCAACGCTGTTAACACATTCCAAGGAAAACCGATAGGCCTGTTGTCATGAAACTCACAGGAGTAATCAGTCTTACTAAAACGCAGATCAAGTTCGAAAATCGGCATGATCGGGCCACTATTTTAGTATTTATGCTGTTTTTTCACTTTTCAGCATATATGCAACACTGTTAACACATTTCAAGGAAAACCGATAGACCTGTTGTCATGAAACTCACAGGAGTAATCAATCTTACTAAAACGCAGGTCAAGTTCAAAAATCGGCATGATCGGGCCACTATTTTACTAGTTATGCTGTTTCTTACACTTTTCAGCATATATGCAACACTGTAAACACAATATAAGAAAAACAGATGGGCCAATTGTCATGAAAGTCACAGGAGTGGTCAATTTTACTAAAATGCAGGTTGAGTTCGTAAATCAGCATAATCGGGCCATTATTTTTGAAGGTATGCTGTTTTTTCACATTTCCTCAGATTCAGTTTTTAGGCATGTTAACAGTCTCATTATTAAACTAATAAGATACGTGAAAGTGTTTGTTTGACATTTCCTGCATCTTTACAACATTGTTAGTTGATTTTGTAAAAATGATGGTAAACATGTTATCGTGTATTGTGTAATAAAGTTTCAAAAATGGAAATAAACTCATATCATTGCAGTTTGTCAGATTCAATCATTCACTATGTTCAGAATCTCAGAATGGAAGAAATTGGACATTTAACACTGCTCTATTGATATTTTTCTCATCTCATCAATTTTCTTAGTTGATCATATAAAAATGGCAGTAAACTGTTAATTTTATTTTATGTTAAAAATTGTTAAAAATGGGGAAAAAAACATTTCAGAACAGTGCTGTCTTGTTTACATTTTGGCATTTTCAAGTTGTGACTTTGAAGTTCCATGGGCCTGAAGACCTTTGCTAGTCACATTTTCTGAATATCCATGATACTAATATTTTATTATTAAAAATTGATGGTCATTATGCTGTTAAACATTATGTAATATTGCATCAAAATTTGAAAAAAAACTATTTTGGGCACTGCTCCCATGATTACCTTTTAAGAAAAACCATGTCACTTACTGTTCTCAAACTTACAGGAAAGAAACATGGGACTAAAATACAGCTTCAGTAGGCAATGCAATCTGCCAGTTAAACTGTTTTTTTGTGAAAATTTAATTTTTCACATATTGGCATTTTCAAGGTGTGACTTTGAAGTTCCACAGGCTTGAAGACCCAGGCTAGTCACATTTTCTGAAAATCCATGATACATATATTTTGTTATTAAAAATTGATTGTCATTATGCTGTTAACCATTATGTAATATTGCATCAGAATAGAAGAAAACACAATTTTGGGTGCTGCTGCCATGATGACCATTATGGGAAAACCATGTTACTAATGATTGCCAAACTTTCAAAAAAGAAATACAGGACTAAAATGCAGCCTGAGTTGGAAAAGCAGTCTAATTGACTTCTTTTTCTGGAAGTTTTACATTTTCAAAGTGTGAACTTGAACTCCCATGGGCCTGAAGCCTTATACTTGTTTCACATTTTACTTACATTGGTATTACCTGTTGAGCATAATTAAAATTTGATGTTGAATTTGCAGTTTAACATAATGTACTTTTGCATCAGAATTGACAGTAGCCTATTTTGTTATTTCCTGCTTTTTGTCTGTACATTTGACAGCTTTGCTGCCTTGTTTACCAGTCTGAGATCAGCTGTTTTCAACTCGCAAGGCTTGCTCGGCGTAGACGTACGCATTTCCGAAGAAAATTCAATCGCTCCTATCAAAGAATACCAAGTGGTACTCAAACGGAATTCAGTGAAACTTTAAATTACTTTTCAGTATTTAATTAAAAAATCATGTCATATTAAAACATATTAAGAAAAGGCAATCTATGGAGCCTACCTGTGCCGACATATCTTGTTGGCACTCTTCCGATTTTCTTACATATATACACTCGCTGTGCACAAGCCACGGTGGATATTGAAAACCCCACTGATACAACCCGAACGTAAAATAAGCATTTAATTGCCATAATTTACACAAAACAGATGCATTTATAATTTGACGTGAGAATTGAGCAAACGCAGAAATGGGAGATTGGTCTTATCTGGTCTGCTCCAGCATACCTAGCGCAAACCACATGTTAATGAAGACGGTCCCATTGTGGGGAGAGGGGTCACAGGAATGGAGTTCTTCACAGATTACGCTCTCTTCTACCCGTCTACTTCATACCAGTATTAGTGTCTATAGACGTACATGGACAGATACAACGTTTCATGCATCTGGGGAAATAAAACGTGACTCACAGGTAACTGTGAAGCTCCGCTTTTCACTGCCATATAAGTTACTGTTTTTTTCTAATAAGGAAGGCGTCATTTTTATTGTTGACAAAACAGTTATCCATGTTGGTGAATTGCTACACGCGTTCGTCAGATTTTGACAGCGCGTGGTATTTGGCGCCAACAAGTCTAGGCGGTTGATCTCACTGATCTTTCAGTCGACTGTAGTAAATGTAGGATCTCGTGGCATTGACTTCAAGAACGTTTCCCCTGCATATATATTTCAATCAAACTTGAAAACAAATTGCTTATTCTTCCCAACATTTTTATTGCTAGCATACGCTATGTATGGTCTATATGAAGATGTTTACTACATATCCTACCCACTGTCGACATCCCCCCCCCACCCCCCCAGTTACGGGCGTGACGAATCAATCAGCGAGGGCAAGTCTGCTAAATTAGCACAAATTGTATGTCTATAAGCACTATTTATTGTCATAAGGGACAAAGGAAATGACAGGTACGTCTCGCTTCCAGATTAGATCTTCAATTAATTGTTTCCTCCTTATTGTCAAAAGCTATTTAAAGGACAACAATTGACAAAGGGCCGAGACATGCAGCATCTATTTCACTGGCTTGAAAATTTACCGAGTCTTGCCGACGACGTGGTCGAACAATCGGAACAAGAAAAAAATTCTGTTGCATGATTTTGATGTATGGACTAAATGTTTGAGCCCAGAAAAATTAATTTTATAACATAATTTTTTTGGTCGGATTGACCGGGCCCGTCGAAATGCTTGGCACATTACCGTACATAATTACAAGATATGCCTTGTGAAATAAGGCAAAAATGTTCCTTAGACTTTTTCTCGGAATATACATGACACTTGTGGTTTGTTACATCATGAAAGATAATTTATGTCAGAATTTCTTATAAGTTATTTATTTATTTTTATTATTTAGTATTCGTATTTTTCTCTTACAGTTATTATTTATGATCCATGAATACATAAATATGATTTTCAAAAAATCTCAAATTTTCAGAGTGTCTGATACCTCAGATTCAATGTATAATGGCATCCCAGCATCCTCCAATGTGACCTCCATTCAAGCAGAGTATTGCAGATGCCCCGCCATACCAGTACCAGTAGTTGGCCACATTTTGTTTAACAGTACCCTTCCACTGGATTGTAGCTACACAGAGAATGTTGCAAAGTGCGCTTCAGACAACAGCTACTCGGTGAAACAACTTGCAAAATGTCGAAAAAGAAGAGCTGCTGCTGGTCATGATGAAATATTCGAGATACGTGAATTTGAATATAACCCGGATGACAGAATAGAGGTGAGATGCATTTCAGCTTCCTACCCACTACCCGTACTGGCTATGAATCTTTTGTTTAAATATAATTTTCAGCAAGAATTAGAGTTATAATGATTAATATCTTAAAACCTCGCTATAAATTTTGGGAGTCTTTGCTCATTCAAGATCGAGTCAAGTTATTTTATGCTAGTTCTATATTCCAGTTCTTCTGTGAGTTAATTCACACCTAACTTTTCAGTAAAATATGCTTATTGGCAATATTGCATTCATTACATGTACTGTGGGTAGTATTAATAATGATAATTGAAGGTTCTAGTTATATTACTTGTAAGTAAATGGCAATATCTTTGTTACTTATAATTAGGCACCAACATGGCAGAATGGTTGGACAGAAGCTAAGGCAGAGGAGTTCTGCAGTAATTATATATATAACAGCAGTGTTGGGAAAGCCTGTCAAGCAGTAGAGAATGTGGATTATGAAGTTGCACTCAAAGGATGCAAGGATGACATACATGTAGGTATTTCATTCCCTTGACTCAATAACAATTGTTAATGACAGTCACTTGGTTGCCCAAATAATGCCCACCGTTCAACTGCTTTATTTCTTTGGTGTTTAATTAAAGTGGTAACTGTATTACACATTCCTGTGATAATGTTTATGTTTGCATCTTTTAATTTATTTCTTGTTGGTGTGGGCATCACATTGTCTCCATCTGTTTCACCTCCTGAGGCCAGCCCCAGAAATATTGTCATCATCTGCTCAGATAATAATAAAAATAATAATAATAATAATCATAATAATAAATATTTGTTTATTTTAAGTCTGAATTCCTTGTACATATATATATATATATGTTCAGTAGACTTACAATTATGTGCATTACAAATATAACATATAGTTAGACACCTGGTCATTACAATCAATGTTAGGAGGATACAGCCCTGCTGCTGTATGAGGCACTGAGTGCTAGCAAACCTACAATATTGTTCTCTGCCTGACCTGGGCCCAGCTTCAATCCCTAACTGCTGAGTTCAAAGCAGAGAGACAGCAGGTACAGTTTATAAAGGATTGGTACAGCTGTACGTCCCTGGATGGGATTGAACCCATGGCCGCCCACTCCGGATGCGTGCACTCTTACCACAAGGCCACCTGCCCGGTATGATGATGTGTATCACATTTCAAGAGATATTCTAATTACAATTTTCTCCCTACATTTAGTTAACAGGAGGCACTGCCTGGGCCCTAGCAGCACTCGATTCTATCAAGGGAATGTGTGTCGCAGAATTGTCCAAAAATGAGAGCTACTGGGTAGTTGACAACTCTACAGGAGAGGTTGCTCTTCCAGAAGAGTTGGATGTCATCCAGTGCCCTAATGATTGCAGCAGCAATGGTGTATGTACTAGAAATAATGGTAAGATATATTCTACACTATATTTGTTCATTCAATATTTTCATAATTCTGGCTGGTGTGGTAGGAGTGGGGTTGATTTATAAGTATAATGACCTTGCTACAATTAACATTGGGTCTCTGTAAGGGACCAGAATGAATAAAGTGTGCCAGTGCTCCATCATTAACATCATTTTATAATGATAGTTTTCAAGCATGATGATTAGGCCAGATTGCATACATTTCCACTCATTTTAGGTACTAGTACCTGTGAATGTTACCCAGGGTATGTGTCAAGTGATTGTTCTATTAGCAGGGATACTATTCCTGACTTATATTATATGCCAACAAATGGGCTTTGTGACATATCTCAGCGGCCATGTCTTGAAACTCCAGTTTATGGAGGCCCGTTTGTACAGTCATCAAACCTGTCTTGTAAAACAGAACATCTCACGGTAAGTTTTTATTAATAAATTGATTGCAAGTAGTAATATTTTCACATCTAATAGACAATCTTTGAAAATATAAATGAGTTTAGATAACTACATAGTGTAACAATATTCTCAGAAACATTTTAATTTTTTAAAAACTTTTTCACTAGGCATCTGGTGTGATTACTGAATATAATGAAGCAGAGTTCATAAATGAAGAAGAGGTGATCTGCCCATTCCCAAAATCACGTCTAAAGAGGAGTGATATCAGTAGCGATGAAGTGATCAAAGTTTACAATATAAGCGTCAGTAATGATGGTACAAACTACAGTCAACCTCTTAAAGTGGCTATGTATGACTCTAATTGCTACAAATGTGATGGGCCAATACAATGCCAGTTAAAGGTAACAAGTGACATTTATGTAGTCACCAAAATAAAAATTACCCTTAGCAAAATATCAGACCTGCAACAAATTTACAGCAAATTTGTAGCAATATTGCTTCAAATAAGCAGCAATAAAGTTCTTTTCTTGCAAACTCATTGCCAAAAACGTTTAGTTATATATTGCAACAAACTTTCTATTTGGCTAAAGGTAACTTGTGAACAAAGAAATGTTTTTTAGTTCTCTTAATGAAAATAGTATGTTCAAGTAATGAAAAGATAACCATCTCAAGTCTGTTTTAAAGATATCTGCTGTATAATTGAAGAAATAGTACATCATACAATTTATAAGTAATATCTTTTCAGAACCTTATGTATATTTTTAATCATGTGTCTGCTAAGCATCATATAATGAACATATAAGTTTTACAAAATTAGTTGTGATAGAATTTTATATGATTATTTTCAGAATGGAACATGCAGCATAAATGGTAAATGCTATAATAACGAGGAACAAAACCCCAGTGATGCCTGCCAAATCTGCAATCCTAATGTCACTACTAGTGATTGGTATCTTCGGGTATGTAACTCTTTTCAGGCAGCATCTGTAGTAGGACACTAACAAGTTAGGGCCCAATGTCTGTGTACAGTAGTTTTTTACAGTAGTTTTTCATATAAACAATGAATCTTCATCAGTCAAAGCATTTGGAGTAAGATTAATTTGCTTTAATGTAAAAATACTAATGCCTTCCACATATGGTACTTTTTTTTCCAAACCCAAGTTTTAATTTTTTTGTACTAGTATGTAAAAACCACATTAAAATTTCCCCAGTATTAAGAAGTTGTACAGATTCTTACCTGTACCTGTACCTGTCTCTTTTTTTTTCAGCCCAGCACCTGCACCATTGACAACCAGTGTTACACAGATGGTCAAGAAAGGACAGGGTCTTTTTGCCATGTTTGTTCTTCAGATAAGAACAGAAATTCTTGGGATATTAAGGTATTTTTTAAATAATTTGTTTTCCCAAGTAAATAAGCCATTGTATTTTATTTTACATTTAGTTTTTTGAACACTTCTTTTTAATGATTTAACATCATTTAAGTATAGTGGCATGCCATGAATTTTTCCACATAAGTAGAGTTTTATTGAAAAAATAACAATACAAACAACATGTATCAAAAATAAATAAATAAATAAAATAAAAGATGCATTTACGTCTCCAGCATGGCACCTGCAGTATAAATAGTTCATGCTACAATGAAACCCAGCAGAACCCAGCAAAGCCATGCCAGATTTGTGATCCTAGAGTGTCAAATACAGAGTGGACACAGCTGGTGAGAAGTTCTTTCATTTCGAAAAAGTCATTTTTTTATATGTATAGCATGGCAATTTGGGTAATATTATGTCTGTTTGATGAAACTACTGTATTATGACAAGAATATTCTCTGAATAATAACTAACAAAATATGAAAAAAAATCCAGACAACTACCTTAAAACTTTATTTGGCAGAAAGCTCTATTGAAAAATTGTTTTTATACTTTTTTCCAGAGTGAAATTTGTGAAATTGAGGGGATCTGTATTGGCAGCCTTGAATCAAGAAGAGATCATGTGTGTCACATTTGTTCTCCCAGTACATCTAGAACCTCTTGGACAATCAAGGTATTACTGGTACATGTATATATATTCAACAATTCACATAGCCTGGGGTAATTTATTGTCCATGAATTGTCTTTTCATATCAGATATTAAGATTAATTTATATTCTCTAATAAAAGATGTATTTATGTTTCCAGAATGGCACCTGCAGTATAAATGGTTCATGTTACAATGAAACCCAGCAGAATCCAGCAAGGCCATGCCAGATTTGTGATCCCAGAGTGTCAAACACAGAATGGACAGATCTGGTGAGAAGTTATTATTTAGAAAAGAAATGATCTAATAACATAAAGCTTTAATGTGGCATCATGTTGAAAAGATAAGGAAAAGTTCAGTTCTGAAAATGTATTCATTTTGTCAAATAATCAGCAATAATTGTCTGTGATTCATGTTTTGGGGTTCAAAGAAAAATGCAACATCTATTATGAAATTAATAGTAATTCTTAAATAAGAATAAATGTTCTCAAATAAGTTTTTAAAATGATACATTTTCTCTGTCCAGAATGGCACCTGCAGTATAAATGGTTCATGCTACAATGAAAGCCAGCAGAACCCAGCAAGACCATGCCAGATTTGTGATCCCAGAGTGTCAAACACAGAGTGGACACAGCTGGTGAGAATATATAATTTATAATTTTCTACTGAAAGTATACTTGTATTTATTTCAGAGTGAACGTTGTGAAATTGAAGGAAGCTGCATTGGCAACCTAGAATCAAGAGATGGTCACATGTGTCACATTTGTTCTCCCAACATCTCTACAACCTCTTGGACAATCAAGGTACTAGATATATTCTGATATCAGTTAATTATCACATAGCATGTGGTAAATTCATTGACCATGGATAGTGTCCTCATATCAGATATTAAACTTTATTAATATTCTTAAATAAAAGTTACTAAAAAATGAAATATCTGCTTCCAGAATGGCACCTGCAGTATAAATGGTTCATGCTACAATGAAACCCAGCAGAACCCAGCAAGGTCATGCCAGATTTGTGATCCCAGAGTGTCAAACACAGAGTGGACACAGCTGGTGAGAATATATAATTTATAAAAGAAAATGATGTAATAACATAAATCATTACTGTGGCATCATATTGAAAAGATTAGGAATGGTTCAGTTCTGAAAGTGTATTCATTTGGTCAAATAATCAATGATAGTTGTCTGGAATAATGTTTTAGGGTTCAAAGAAAAAAAGCAACATTCATTTCAAGAATGGCACCTGCAGTACAAATGGATCATATTACAAGGAACTTGTAATGGTCAATTTTCTCCCACTTGGAATTATCCATTACTTTTGAGTAAAAAATACTATTTTTGTCCCCAGAATGGCACCTGTAGTATAAGTGGTTCATGCTACTATGAAACCCAGCAGAATCCAGCAAGGCCATGTGAGATTTGTGATCCCAGAGTGTCAAACACAGAGTGGACAGAGCTGGTGAGAATGTCTTAAATTATTTAGAAAAGAAATCATGTAATAACATACAGCACTGCTTTGGCATCATGTTGAAAAGATTAGGAATAGTTCATATCTGAAAGTGTATGCATTTGGTCAAATAATCTGCGATAGTTGTCTGTGGTTCATGTTTTGGGGTTCAAAGAATATTGCAACATCAATTATGAACTTGATTAATATTCTCAAATGAAAGTTTTAAAAATGATACATTTTCTCTTCCCAGAATGGCACCTGCAGTATAAATGGCATATGCTACAATGAAACCCAGCAGAACCCAGCAAGGCCATGCCAGATTTGTGATCCCAGAATATCACAGACTGTGTGGATTATTTTGGTAGATACATGTGGTTTTATTTAAGAATAGTATATTTTCTGTATATAATAATTTTCTTATATTCATATAATTTGTTTCTGACTTTGAGTATTCTTGAACTTGTATTAAGTGAAGATAAATTAACTGTTATTGCAGTTTGTTGTTACGTGACATTGTGCAAAGTACAGAATCAAAACATCACTCTTATTCATTTATATATTTTTTCAGAATAACACATGTTTGATAGATGGTGTTTGTTACAATACATGTCAAGTAAACCCAGTGGACAATACTACAGTCTGTCATTCCAGTACCACGGCATACAACTGGACTTCAGCTGATGGTAAGAACCTATATGTTTTGTGCTATTTAAAACATGTGGCATTGAACTAGGCTTTCCTTAACATAAGAATTTTTAAGTATAGTGCAATAGTGAATTCAAGTCAATTAGTGTTGGGTCTCAAATAGAATACTTCTCCACTTTTGAGAATGATACACCTTTTTTGTAATTTAATTCAAATGATAAATTTCAATTACACTAAAAATAACAATGTTCCTCTTTATGTTCCTTTTTAGCATGTGACCAAATGGATGATATTGGGAGTACAGTTGAGGCACCTTCAGGGTTAGATGCCAGCAGCCAGATGGCAATTATCTTAGGAGGCATTTTGGGGAGCATATCCATAGTTGCTGTGACCCTAATAGTGGTTGTAAAATTAAGCAAAAGAAAAAGTAAGGAGATGTTGATATTTTGATAATTGAGGTTTCCTTCACATTCCTTTACTTATTTGGCAGTCTGTCTTTAATTTTTTCCCCTCAACATCAGCCAGTATTTTTATGGGGGGCTCATCCATCTTAAGGCAATGTCAGTGTGAAAAAGAAATATTGATGCATTATTAAGTCAACTATGACCATTTCCAAGAAGTATTTTCAATAACATTAATATCATTTATTATTATTATTATTATTTGTAACATTAGTGAAACTATTTGGAGAAAAAGTTCCATTATTCATTTCAAGTCCAACGGGATCTACAAAGATATACATACGTACTATCTCTACATAATTGTTTTAGTTTCATGACAATATAATCAATACAAATGTTGCAAAGAAAAGTGAAAATGAAAGGTGTTTATTTTCTGAATTGACACTTTTTTTAGGAGAAATATATGTTTGGAATCCACCTTCTCATCCAGATTGAGCAAAACTTCACTAGTAATCCTACTGCTATTGGCAGAGACAACCAGGTATATCAGAGATCTACAGAAAGAAGATATGAAAGAGGCTTCAAACATCACAAGAACATCAGACATCAACCATTTTATAAGTTATGGCAAAGTTATGGCAACTGATGTATATTCCTGCATCCGCTTTTGAAGATCATACTATATCACAGATTTGTATGTGGTTCTAAAAAGGACTTGTGTTTTATTGCCATTCTTTGATAATTGACTTTGACAAAATTTATCAAAAACATCATAATAGAAATGCAACATACCCAAGACATTCCAGTAATACATGTATCTCAAACACAGAAAATTACTGTAGCTGACTGGTAATGGATACTTGCATGCTTGGATAATATACAAATAAAATATTACTGAATATCTTTAATCTTTTGCTGCGTGTTTTACAGTTTCCCAGCAAATGTGTGTGGTATCATCTCCAGTCTCTGAGCAACCTTTTACTACGTGCATACAACAAGAAAGATGAGAAGTGGGTGAAGATTCCACATCTCCCACATACTAGAGCCAGCCATGCTTGTTTGTTTATACACTGTGAGACCTGGTTGGAAGTTCACGTGCCCGTTTCTGCTACTTTGATTGGTTTAAAGGGTCGAGCAGCAGGGCTTTTCACTTTGATATTTAGACAAATATAATCAATGTGGAGGGTACCGGAGAAGACACGATTGTGGTGATGTCAAGTGGTGTAACACGTGAACTTGAGTGGTCATTTTAAGCTGGAGGTGAATGGGAGTGAAGACATGGGTTTAGAGAAAAAAAGCAGTTTTTCCAACAAAATAGTATAGATAACATTTTTTCTTTTGGTATTTTGGGCAGAGAATAATAGGTACCTGATATGAAAACATGCTACGATACTTGAAGGTGCAAAATCATGCTTAATTTGCAGTCAGTTCATTTTGAAATATATGCGGCATATATTTCAAAACAAATTGACTGCAAATTGAGAAGTTCTCAATATGGAAATCTCTAATTTTAGGTAATTTCCTTTTTAACACTTACAAACACTACATAATACCCTCGAATTAATATCATGTTCACACATTTCTGTAAATATCCTGAATTTAAATATTAATGTAAAATGTCAGAGACTTTGATTTAATTATGATGAGAGAGAGAGAGAGAGAGAGAGAAAGAGAGAGATAGGTTAAGGGCCTTAATTGTGCTCTTGCACCACCTCTCTCTTTGTTGGGAGAAACATGGCTTCTCAGATTAGGAAATCTTTTACGTTTCCTTTTCATATTAATTTAATTCTTCACACATTTCTGTAAATGTCCTGAACTAGAGGAGGGTGTCATAAACTAAACACATCTTGGCAATAACCTGTAGCCAGTTAGCCTGCAGAGTGGTTTAGTTATAGTGATTAACATTATTGTTTATATTTTATTAATATCAAACAATTTTTACTGCTTGCAGGTATACATGTTTATAACCTGTACTATGCGTCATATATTACCAATGGTGCAAAGTAGTGATACTTCTATAAAATGTTTTTCAAATATCAAATTTTATTAGACATTTGAATACAACATTATTAATAGAACCAATGATACTAAATTGTTATAAAGACATGAAGGAAGCAGGGTGAGCATATATGCTGGGAGTTTTGTTGGAGAGGGATATGTCGCGAGTTCAACTCACTGCCCTGTGAAGCCATATTTTTGTGGCCTGAGATTTCGCATCCATTACTTTGTGACCTGACCTGTCATTTTCTCCACAAGTGAGTGTGCACCCTCTTTTCATCTTTCAGATCTTCCACATTAATCAAGAAACATTATCAATTACAAGTGCTTGGGTGGGGTGGAAGCATGAAGGGAATAAATAAATAATTATAAGCAGTATCCTTGGGACACAAGGTATACATAACTCTGCAATTTATATCTTTCAATTTATGCTGTGAAATATCACCCAACTAGCCTGTTGATCTCACGAATCAACCAAATGACCATTAATTGGGTTGCTAAACTGCAAGTAATTAACCCCCTCCCCTCCCCCGAACTCATACTGGCAGGTTTCCAAATGAAGAATACACCGCAGAAAAATTTTGGAGCTCAAAACAGAGCCAGCCAAGGACACATTTGGGGAACACGTTTGAACATGTCATGATGGACATTTACAGATGTAGGACCAGAACAGAGACTCTTGTAAACAGTTAAAAACCATGGGACTGAATTTGATTTGAGGGCCAGAAGACAGTCATAACACATGCCTTCTTATTCCCACTTTACCATCACGCCACTTTCACAGCACAAGTATACATAAGTTTAAAATCTGAACTATTAACTAAAACTATTAATAAATTCAAAAATAATTGCAAAAATATATATAAAAAAAACTTACCTGCTTGACAAAGGATCTGTGCTCATTACGAAAACCCCTTTTTTCAACAGGCGATAGCATGCGTTTGTTTTTGAAATACTTCATATCATAAAGTGGATTTAACATGCAAAATTTTATACAAGCAAATAAATCCAAGGAATGAAAGGGAGTAAATATAAGTCGAAACTGTTCGTATGATGCCCACTGTGTGATAACAGTCACAGCTGCGCAGCTACTGACCTTTAAATATGTCTCATTATTTAAAGTGAAGAATGCAAGACCCAGGGTGTAATCAAGGCCAGCGTCAAATTGTTTTAAACTCCAAGCTTCACTTTCAATTACTATCATATTGTTTGTGATCCCCCTGCTTTTGTCCAGAAAGCAAAGCTATGCAATGGCCTTCAAAAGGTCTTGGCTATGTATGGGTATGTGGCTGTCAAAGGACTTTTATACACATGCATACGTAATATGGGCTGGAAGTCTTGAATCCCAAAATAAACTTGTTCTTTCAATTTTAGCTGTACCCAGTGCTGAGGTCTCAGGTTGGATTTTCACTAGAAAAAAATGTTTCTGTCTAATTTGTGGCACTTTTCTCTACTATGAGACAGAATTTACATTCGGAGTCGCCTTCATCCCTCACCTGGCCTACAGTAAAGAGTAGGGAGTAGGGATGCAAAGATGTATAAAGAAGTGATCCATTTATTAATGAATATGTGAAAATTTAGGAAAAGAAATTGGGTAACACAATGCAAAACAAAGAAACACAAACAGATATTTAGAAATGGTATATTTTGTGTATTTATATGGTACTACATTTTAACATATTTAAATATAATAAATCAATTACTTTCTTGGTGTTGCTCACACACTGGACAAGTTAAATGGTGTATTTTGCTTACAGGTACAGGCTGTAATGAACAAAAGTACTCACTTAAGTAATTTTACGTAAATAAAAGTACATTAGCAGTTTAAAGTAATTTAATGCAAATGAGTTTCATTCACAACATTAGCCATAATATTGATGTACCTACTTGTTTGGCATTCTAGTGTCGGGGAGTCAGTGTAGTGTTAGTTGAATATTATATACATCTGTTAATATGATTTCATTCAGTGACATTCCCCATTCATCTTGTGTGCAGTAGCTAGGTTCAGTAATTCATTGTGAACGTGCCCTAATTTCCTGCATGTGTGTGCACGTGTGCATGTGTGCATGCGTGTGTGTGTGTGATACAATGTATTATTGGTATGGCTTGGGTATGTTGAACTTCTGTTTTGATGTTTTAAATAATTCTTGTCTATCAACAAAAATGGCACCAGTCCTATTTAAAACCACATGTTAGTCTGTGATCATGTTGTTCAATAATCTGGTGGAGGAATATGCATATGTGGCCCTATCATATAAACTGGTTGATGTCTGATGTTGTCCTGTTGTTTGGAGCCTCTTTCATATCTTCTTTCTGTAGAGCTCTGGTATCCCTGGTTGTCTCTGCCAATAGCAGCAGGATCACCAATGTATCTGTCTCCTCTCAGCATATTGGTGTTCTGGGCATGGACATAGCCTAAATGTGGCGTTTTGCTGAGACTGGATCCCAAATTGGATTTCAAATATACATTTTTCCTTAAAAAAAGATTCAATTAAAAAAATTAAACACTTTTAAGGGGTGTTATCTTTGAAAATTTCATTATGCATTACATTGTAACCAACCCAAAACAATTATGTACTAATAGTATACTAGTTTATATCTTTGCAGATCCTGATTGGAATGAACAATGGGACTTTTTCTCCAATACAATCAATACTGTAACAAATAGTAATCTGGACATTGCCTTTATCAATGTTCAGAAAAAAACACAGTAGGACTTATTTAACCATGAGACACTCAATCATTTTAATGATTTAAAAATCACTGAATTAAAATTAGTGAATTAAAATAATTATTATAATAACAAAATGATAATAATGTTATTAATAATGATAGTTAACCTAAAAATGGTTCCATATTTCTTTTGCAAACCAAATTTGCCTTGAGATGGATGAATCTCAGCTTCTGCCAAATTAAAGACAGACTGGCAAATGATTTAAGAAAATTAATGTAAAAGTATTGCTTTCATGAAGAAAACTTCAATTATTAAAAGAATTAACTTCTCTGCTTTAAAACTTACCTTTTCTTTTGCTTTGATTTCCAATGTAGGGTATGTCTAATTGCTGCAACCACTATTAGAGTTACAGCAATAAATGATATGCTCCCCAAAACGCCTCCTAAGACAATTGCTATCTGGCTGCTGGCATCTGACACTGAAGGTGCCTCAGCTGCACTACCAATATGGTCACACACTAAAAAGATACATACGCATTGTTATTTTCAGTATACTGGGGTAAATGAAAGGTATCATTTTAAATCAAATAACAATTAAATACATCTGGTTAATTTCACTTTTGTGCTTGGAAAGCATAGTTTTTAAAAGGCCAAATCTATGATCGTTTAGCAAAAAGATAGCTTTTATACCATCAGCTGAAGTCCAGTTGTATGCCGTGGTACTGGAATGACAGACTGTAGTATTGTCCACTGGGTTAGCTTGACATGTATTGTAACAAACACCATCTATCAAACATGTGTTATTCTGAAAAAATGTATGAGTGAATATGAATGACGTTTTGATTCTGTACACTGCACAATACCATGTTAAACAAACTACAATGACAGCTACTTTATCTTCTTGTTAAAGAATTTTCAATTAAAGAAACCAAAGGAATCATTATTTAAAGAACATATATATTGCTTCAATTAAACCACATGTATCTACCAAAATAATCCACTCTGTCTGTGACATGCTTGGATCACAAATCTGGCATGGCCTTGTGGGATTGTGTTGGGTTTCATTGTAGCATGAACCATTTATACTGCAGGTGCCATTCTGGGGACAAAAAGTATTTTTTATTAACCTATATTTGAGAATATTAATGAAGTTTAATATCTGATATGAGAATACCATCCATGGACAATTAATTTACCCCATGCTATGTGATAATTGGCTGATTTCAGAATATATCTAGTACCTTGATTGTCCAAGAGGTTGTAGAGATGTTGGGAGAACAAATGTGACACATGTGACCATCTCTTGATTCTAGGTTGCCAATGCAGCTTCCTTCAATTTCACAACTTTCACTCTGAAATAAATACAAGCATAACTTTCAGCAGAATGTCCTACCAAGGAGTTATAACTCCTTGGTCCTACTGAATATAATTTATCAAGTAGCTATCTGGAATTATTTTCAATTTTCATTTGTCACTACTCAGTCAAAGTTCTTACTAATTCTAGTTTTAAGTAGTTACTTTCTCCATAGTAAACACTGTGTAATCCAAAAGTTGCCATACTAGCTATATTAATTAATTTGTTCTGAATGAAAGAATTTTACCAGATCTGTCCACTGTGTGTTTGACACTGTGGGATCACAAATCTGACATGGCCTTGCTGGATTCTGCTGGGTTTCATTGTAGCATAAACCATTTATAGTACAGGTGCCATTCTGGTGGACATAAATTATATTTTAAACAAAAGTAATACAATAAATCTATGCATTCACTTTATGTCATGGCTAATAAACCTACAAGAATGAATATGTAGCAATTCCCTGATATCAGAACATACCCAGTACTACCTTGACTGACCAAGACATTTGATAAAATGCAAACATTTTCAAAATGAACCATTCCTATTCTTTTCAATATGATGTGACAGTAATGATCTATGTTTTCTAAATGAGATATTCTCACCAGCTGTGTCCACTCTGTGTTTGACACTCTGGGATCACAAATCTGGCATGGCCTTGCTGGGTTCTGCTGGGTTTCATTGTAGCATAAACCATTTATACTGCAGGTGCCATTCTGGAAATAGATATTGTACTTATTTTAGTTTTTTTTATTTGAGAATATTTATAAAGAGCATTATCATTAAAAACAGTTATTCTTAAAAAAAAGTTTTAAAAAGTTATTCTAAGTTAAAAAGTTAAAAAAGTTATTCTAAGCAATTACTAAAAAAAGAATGACAAGTACTTACGCAGTACCTTGATTGTCCCAATTTGAAAATATTGATTGATTTCATTAATATATATGCAGTAATTTAATAATATTAGAATGTGGTTTGTACCTTGATTGTCCAAGAGGTTGTAGAGGTGCTGGGAGAACAAATGTGACATATGTGACCATCTCTTGATTGCAGGTTGCTAATGCATTTCCCATCAAGTTCACAAGCTTCATTCTGAAAGAGAAAAAATATAATAATATATCTTAAAGCTGAACCTTCTGCATTATTACAATGTGAAGTAAATATTGGATACACTGAAGTTCTGTTATGTGTCCTTTAAAATGAAGACTCCTGCTGTAGAACAGTTATATATATTTTTTCCAAAATGCACATTATGAAACCAAATAAGTCATGTTAATTAAACTTTTCATTTCTTAAAATTAAATTACATCCATGTCAAGTATACAAATTAATTTTGAAACAAAAATTTAACATGGACATTCGTAACTATCTCTGATTATTTGACTTAAATATCAAAAACATTTTACAAGTTGTACCTTTCCTTCACCTTAATAATATGGTGCCACAGTAAAAGTCTATACCATTACATTATTTCTTTTCTAAATCTGACTTTCTCACCAGCTGTGTCCACTCTGTATTTGACACTCTGGGATCACAAATCTGGCATGGCCTTGCTGGGTTCTGCTGGGTTTCATTGTAGCATGAACCATTTATACTGCAGGTGCCATTCTGGAAATAAATGTTGTATTTTTAAACTCATAAACATTGATTTATTCAATATATTCAAGTCAATCTTTCATGATGAATATAATTTTCTCACTCTAAACAATTAACTGATATCAGGAAATGTCTCATATAGTACCTTGACTTTCTGGATATAGATTTTGGATTATTTTACTAAATATGTACCAATTTGGCAGACATAGAAAATGCCTTCATGTCCAACAAATTATCCCCATTTGTAATTTTAATAATATCAGAATATGGCTTGTACCTTTATTGTCCAAGAAGTTCTAGAAGTGCCAGAAGAACAAATGTGACACACGTGACCATCTCTTGCTTCCAGGCTGCCAATGCATCTTCCTTCAATTTCACAACGTTCACTCTGAAATATATTACAAAAACATAACTTTCAGCAGAACTTACTACTGAATATATAATATAATATAATATAATATAATATAATATAATATAATATAATATAATATAATATAATATAATATAATATAATATAATATTGATCAAGAGGATATCTGTAATTAGTGTCACCTTTTATTTGTCACTATTCAGTCAAAGTCCTCTAGGAATAATTAAGTAGTAACTTTCTTCTTACTAAACACTATGTAATCCATAACAGTTACTGTCATACTAGACTTGAAATTAATTATTCTAAAGCAGATATTCTCACCAGCTGTGTCCACTCTGTGTTTGACACTCTGGGATCACAAATCTGGCATGGCCTTGCTGGGTTCTGCTGGGTTTCATTGTAGCATGAACCATTTATACTGCAGGTGCCATTCTGGGAACATAAATTGTATCATACTAAAAAATTTGATTAAAGATTTTATGTCTTCTCCATCTCAGTGTACCACAAACTTTTATGGTCTCATTCATAGCAAGAAAGAAGGCAACAAGGAGTATTGATTGTTCGTTTCCTATAATTTATTCCATTGACATATAATATGTAATAATGTACATAATAATTAAATAATATCAGAATGTGTTTTGTACCTTGATTGTCCAAGTGGTTCTAGAGGTGCTGGGAGAACAAATGTGACACATGTGACCATCCCTTGATTGCAGGTTGCTAATGCATTTCCCATCAAGTTCACAGGTTTCTTTCTAAAAATGAATAAACGAAAATTAATTCTTTTTGTGCCATAATTCACTTAGGCCTCATGCACTATTTTACAAAGAGTTTTCATCAAAATGCACATGTCATTTAAAACAAGGGATATTAATTATATATCTATTTGGAGAAATTTTCACCTGATCAGTCCAATTTGTCTTTGAAACATTCGGATCACAAATCTGGCATGGTCTTGTTGGGTTCTGCTGGGTTTCATTGTAGCATGAACCATTAATACTGCAGGTACCATTCTGGAAACATAAACAAAATCTTTAAACAAAAATATTGAATAATTTTATGCATTCAATTTAGAGATAGGATAATCTATTTCATGGCCAATAAACTTTTCAGCAATGGATATTTAGCAATTCCCTGATATCAAAATGTACTACCTTGATTGACCAAGAGATTTGATAAAACATGCAAATATTTTCAAAATGAACCATTCCTATTCTTTTCAATATAATGCCATAGTAATGGTCTATGTTATTACATCATTTCTTTTCTGAATAAGTTATTCTCACAAGATCTGTCCACTCTGTGTTTGACACTCTGGGATCACAAATCTGGCATGGTCTTGCTGGATTCTGCTGGGTTTCATTGTAACATGAACCATTTATACTGCAGGTGCCATTCTGTAAATTCACACTGTATTTTTTTTATCTGGCATGATATTGTATCATTCTACAAACTCTGAGATAATAATTAATTTTATTGATATATAATATGAAATAATGTAATAATTTAATAATATCAGAATTTGGCTGGTACCTTGACTGTCCAAGAGGTTCTAGAGGTGCTGGGAGAACAAATGTGACACATGTGACCATCTTTTAATTCTAGGCTGCCAATACATCTCCCTTCAATTTCACAACGTTCACTCTGAAATAAATACAAGTATACTTTCAGTAGAACTTCCTACTGAATATAATTTATCAAGAAGACAACTGGAATATTTTCATCTTTATCTGTCATATTTCAGTCAAATATTTTAGGTATAATTAAGGTGTAACTTACATTAAACTAAATACTGTATAATCTAAAACTATTGTACTAGACATGTATGTTTTTTTTTCTAAATGAGATATTATCACCAGATCTGTCCACTGTGTGTTTGACACTCTGGGATCACAAATCTGGCATGGCCTTGCTGGATTCTGCTGGGTTTCATTGTAACATGAACCATTTATACTGCAGGTACCATTCTGAAAATAAATACTGTATTTTTTAGCATTTATTTGCTTTTTTTTAAAAATAATTTTATGGCTATGAAGACAATCCCCCCCCCCCCCCCCCAAGACAATCTCCCTTCCCTAGTCAATTTCCTCCTGTTATGGATAAAATTAATGAGAATGAACAATGTGATATTGAGAAAAAAATTATAAATGCCTACCTATAATCAAAATCTCAATTAGATAGTGTAACAAACAATTTCACTTATTCAGGTAGCCTTTTGATGAACTAATTGACACTTTTAATTGTTTAACCCCCCCCCCCCCCCTTTAGCATGTTGAATGCCAATAATCAAGGTGCATCACCAGTTAAAGGTGGGATAAACAGATAATCTTACTCATCCAGGTATCCCTTTGATGAGCTTTCTGTCAGTTTTACTTGTTTCTCCTCTACCCCATGACATACTTTTTCTACTTTCAATATTATTAGTTACATCATTCAGAAAACTCAATAACATCAAAGTGCAGATAAAATATAATTTGTTAACTTTAGAAAAAAATGATTAATTGTTAGTTTTGTTTGATTAAAAAATAGCATGTAATGGCAAACTTACAAAATTTGCTCATTTTGTAATTCAAAATAACCTAGCTCTCAGGTCTGTTTATGCAGGTGAGCTACCAAGATATTTTGTATTTAATAGCCAATACTTTTATTTTTATTATATTTATTTTTGTCTCACTATTTTCAATAAAATATGCAACAAATGTATAAATGCACCAAAAAGATAATTCAAAAGCAGTGTATATTCTTTTCTGGGAAGGGGGGGGGGGTGTCTTGAGGGGAGGGGGAAGGAATTGGTGAAATGTCCAGGGAAAATTGTACAGAGGGGGGGTAATGTCCTAGTATCAATATTGTTATCATATAAAAAGATATTAAAAGCTTCACATTTTTCATGACCAAGAAATATTTTCCATTCTAATTAAATAATTTAAAGGGATAATAACTCTTCATTTTGGCCAAACAATGATTTTTCCTGGAGTAAACAACAATTTTCTCATACTTACCAATGGTTAATGAATCCATTTTTACATTCAAAGTTAGTCCCTGTTTTTTTTCTAAAAAGTTTGGTTTTTTGTTAAAATCTCTTAAGAGATTATAACAGAGTATAGCCATCAATGGAGGTCACGTGGTCTGAAGACAAGTTCAGATATCAGAATAATAGCTATAACTGCTGTTTTTGTTGTAAAACAGAATATATTATATTTCTGTGAGTTATTCACAATGTTTTTATTGGGAAATATAGACCTCATATGAAGAGTTATTATCCTTTTAATAATATCAGAATATATCTAGTACCTTGATTGTCCAAGAGGTTGTAGAGGTGCTGGGAGAACAAATGTGACACATGTGACCATCTTTTGATTTTTGATTGCTAATGCATTTCCCATCAAGTTCACAAGTTTCATTCTATAAAATAAAATTTATAAACATATCTTAAAGATGGACTAATTGCTTTCTTAAAAGTTATCTAGTAAATATTTGGGATGCAAACATATTTTATTGGTCATTATTCAATATAAATTCACTTTTTATGGCAATGGTATTTTTTTCACAAAACACACATTATATTATCAAAAGTGCCAAACTAGACATGTAAATTAAATTTTTATTGAAAGAAATGTCTCACCAGATCTGTCCATTCTGTGTCTGACAATCTTGGATCACAAATCTGGCATGGTCTTGCTTGGTTCTGCTGGGTTTCATTGTAACATGAGCCATTTATACTGCAGGTGCCATTCTGAAGACAGAAAAAGAATTACTCTTTGAACTGAAGAACATTGAATTACCCAACATGTTCACTGGACAGAGATATAGGCAAATTTCACTCTTTCATGGGAAATATATTTTTTCTCACTCTGCAAAATAATTAACTACTCTCAGAAAGTCTCAAAGCGTCTTGCCATTTTTGATGCAGATATTAGATTCGTTTTTTACCAAAATTTGCAAACTCAAAAATTCTTCTCATTTATAATTCAATTACATCAGAATGTGGCTACCTTGATTGTCCAAGAGGTTCTAGAGGTGCTGGGAGAACAAATGTGACACAAATGATCTCTTCTTGACTCAAGGCTGCCAATGCAGATCCCCTCAATTTCACAATTTTCACTCTGAAAAAAGTATACAATATCTCACAACAGAGCTTATTATAATATAATTTTAAGGTAGAAACATGGATTTTTTTCAACTTTGATTATAACTATTTTAGAAAACCTTGCCATAATACAGTTGTTTAAACAAACTAGACATAGTATAATATAAAACTGCCTTGCTAGACATATAATTGATTTTTTTAATGAAAGAAATTCTCACCAGATCTGTCCACTCTGTGTTTGATGCTCTTGGATCACAAATCTGGCATGGCCTTGCTGGGTTCTGCTGGGTTTCATTGTAGCATAAACCACTTATACTGCAGGTGCCATTCTGGAAATAGATATTGTACTTATTTTAGTAACTTTTGAGAATATTTATAAATAGTATTATCATATTAAAAAATAAGCAAAAAAATATATTCTAATCAATTAGTAAAAAATGAATGACAAGTACTTTAATTGTCCAAGAAGTTCTTTTATTTGACAATATTGATTAATTTTATCAACAAACAATATGTAATAATTGAATAATATCAGAATATGGTTTGTACCTTGATTGTCCAAGAGGTTGTAGAGGTGCTGGGAGAACAAATGTGACACATGTGACCACTCCTTGATTGTAGGTTGCTAATGCAACTTCCCTCAATTTCACAGGTTTCATCCTGAATAAATCAATTTTATCTTGAAGCTGATATCACTATTAAGCATTAAATATCAAATAAATATTGGGATATTTTTTCATTTGCCATTATTCACTAAAAACATTAATCTTTTTATGGCTGTGTCATTTTTCATCAAAAGAGTCATAAAATCGGAAAAGGATGCCAAACTTTGTTTATAAAAAGAAATTTTCACCAGATCTGTCCATTCTGTGTTTGACACTCTGGGATCACAAATCTGGCATGGCTTTGCTGGATTCTGCTGGGTTTCATTGTAACATGAACCATTTATACTGCAGGTGCCATTCTGGGAAAAGAAACTGTATTGTGTTAGTAACTGTTTATGAGAATATTAAATAATTTTTAGTATCTGTTATGAAAAGAAAATTCATGGCCAATAAATTTACACCATACTTTCTAATTTACTTAATAATACCAGAATGTCTTGTACCTTGATTGTCCAAGAGGTTCTAGAAGTGGTGGGAGAGCAAATGTGACACACATGACCATCTCTTGATTCTAGGCTGCTGACACATTTACCATCAAGTTCACAAGTGTCTTCCTGAAAAGAAAAAACAGCAGCCATTCACTTATAGAAGTATACACCTTAAAGGTGAGAATGGCTTTTTTTGTCATGTAATAAATTCTACTGTAGTTTTCTCCTGAAAATATTCATGAATCGCAGACATCTATTTTTGAATATGTGATTAAATGCATACACTTTCAAAAGTGAACAATTTCTCATATTTTAAACATAATAACACAATGATGCTCTATGTTATTACATAGCTTCTTTTCTAAATGAGAAAATTTCTCACCATTTTTAATTCTCACCAATTAAATTTTTATTGAAAGAAATGTCTCACCATATCTGTCCACTCTGTGTTTGACACTCTGGGATCACAAATCTGACATGGCCTTGCTGGATTCTGCTGGGTTTCATTGTAGCATACACCATTTATACTGCAGGTGCCATTCTGAAGAGAGAAAAAAGTATTTTTCATTGAAACCAAGAACACTCAATGATCCACCATGTTCACTGGACAGTGATAGAGGCAAATTTCCCTCTTTCATGGGAAATAAAATTTTCTCACTCTGTGAAATAATTAACTGATATCAGAAAATATCTCATGGTACTTTGCCATTCTTGATAAAGATATTTGATTATTTCACAAAATATATGCCAATTTTTGCCATATATAGAAATGTCTTCAAGTCTGACAAATTCTCCCCTTATAATTTAATTACAGCAGAATGTGGATCAAACCAGTACCTTGATTGTCCAAGAAGTTCTAGAAGTGCCAGGGGAACAAATGTGACATGGGTGACCATCTTTTGATACTTGGTTGCTAATACAGCTTCCATCAATTTCACAACTTTCACTCTGAAATAAATTATGCGCAGCACTATCAACCAAACTTCCCTAGTGAATATAATTTATCAAGTAGATATCTGGAATTATCTTTATATTTTATTTGTCATTATTCAGTCAAAGTTCTTTCTAGGTATAATCAAGGAGTTATAACAGTTATAACTCCTTGGTATAATTAAGTAGCAACTTTCTTCTAAGTAAACACTATATGATAAAAACTATTGTATTCTACATATTACTTTATTTTTTCTAAATGAGATATTCTCACCAGATCTGTCCATTCTGTATTTGACAATCTGGGATCACAAATCTGGCATGGCCTTGCTGGATTCTGCTGGGTTTCATTGTAACATGAACCATTTATACTGCAGGTGCCATTCTGGGAATAAATATTGTATTTTTTAAAGCATTTATTTGAGTTTTTCATAATATTATTATTATTATTGTTACAGATATGATAGTGAGAATGAACAATGTGATATTGAGAAAAAATTCAAAAGCAGTGTATATTTTTCCTGGGATGGGGGGTGTGCGAGTGTGTGTGTGTGTGCGTGTGGGGTGAAATGTCTTGAGGGGATGGGAGAGGCATTGTCAGGTGAGATGTCCAAAGGAAATTGTCCAGAGGGGGATATGTCTTAGAATAAATATTATCATCATATAAAAAGATACTTAAAGCTTCACATTTTTCATGACCAAGAAATATTCTCCATTCTAATTAATAATTTAATTATATAAGAATATCTAGTACCTTGATTGTCCAAGAGGTTCTAGAGGTGCTGGGGGAACAAATGTGACACATGTGACCACTCCTTGATTGTAGGTTGCTAATGCATTTCCCATCAAGTTCACAAGTTTCATTCTATAAAAATAAAATTTATAAACATATCTTAAAGCCGAACTGCTAATATATTTCCATTTGCCATTATTCACCACAGATTCACTCTTTATGGCAATGATATTTTTCTTCAAAACACACATTATAAAATTATTATCAAATAGTGCCAGACTACACATGTAAATAAATTTTATTGAAAGAAATTTTTCACCAGCTGTGTCCACTTTGTGTTTGACACTCTGGGATCACAAATCTGACATGGTCTTGCTGGGTTCTGTTGGGTTTCATTGTAGCATGAACCATTTATACTGCAGGTGCCATTCTGGAAATAGAATATTAAGTGCTATTTTTATACTCAATAGTATTGGGTAATACAGTGTGAGAGAATTTTGAATTATACGTTTTCCATTGTCCTTAAGGGATCACCATGTTACATAGGTAAAATAACATATGAAGTCTCTTTAGCAACAATTTTCTTTTTCTCTATAAAAGTTGTTATTGGGTTACTCACCAGCTCAAACCATGTCTCTGTGCTGTACTTTGGGTCACATAATTCACAGGGTTCTGAAGGATTTCTGTCACTACTGTTATAGCAAGTAGAGTTCACATAGCATGTTTCATTCTGAAAAAAAGGACAAACATTCTTTTTTCATTTAGTCTTCAAATTTAGTCCTAAGATATATTTTTATTATATTTTCACAATGTTGAAGAACTCTTATACATCAAATAAACATTCAGTAACATTTATTAAATTCGCCAATTAACTCACCAGAAGCACCCAATCTGTGATGTTGACAGCTGGGTTGCAAACTTTGCATGACTTTCCTTCCTGTGCCTCTCCCTTGTGATAACAACTCCCATTTATTCTACATGCATTACTCTGAAACAACATATTTTCTAATATCAGTTTATTCTTATATATAATAATAACTGTAACTTGATAAACAAGGGTACATATGTAACAACTGATCCAGACACAGTACAGTACCAGATTCAGGTACAGATGGCAGCAATAAAAATTGATGTATCCACTTTCAGTCTTTTTCCCTTACCAAAACTGAAGAAAATTAACACATACTCAGGCCAGCAAGTAAGTCATAATTGCTACTTTTGTTTAGTCATACAAGCTGTGCAAGATTATCTACCTGTATATACCAAGCAGTTTTGTTCCAAGATGGGATGCAAATCTGGCATGGGTCATCAGGATTTGTGTCATTTTCCTTATAACACATTTCTCCAATTCTGCAGGTTCCATTCTGTGAGGCAATATAAAACAGCAGTGTTCACAAAACATTGAGCTACCAGTAAACAATTTTATGTAAAATAAAGTAATTAAAATGGCTTGTTTTGTGTTTTGGAAAACACTATATATTATACTTGAATCATATCAAATCATAAAAATACCTTAATATCCCAAGAATTTCTGTTCTTATCTGAAGAACAAACATCACAAAAAGACCCTGTCCTTTCTTGACCATCTGTGTAACACTGGTTGTCAATGGTGCAGGTGCTGGGCTGAAAAAAAACTGGTACATGTTTAGAACATTCTGCTGAAACATAAATGCTGCTGTCACTCCATGTTGCTTGTATTTATTGCCTGTGTTTTGCTGTTCTAGCCTAAAGGTACAAGTTGTTGGTGTTATATACAATCCAAAGGTACCAGCTAGTGGTACAATATACACTCTCAGGTACCATGCAGCTTATGGTGGTACAATGTGGTCATTAAAACTTGACTACCTGGTATCCAAAATAAATGGTCAAATTGTATTTTTATTGCAAGATCAATATTTAAATATGCAATTCAAATGGCTACTTGTAAAAATACCAAAATGTAATCAAGAAGTTTGACTGTTTCTATAAATGCAATTTGTAAAATGGAAGATCAAGTTTGTAAATGTAAATATTGTTGACACTAGGACTACAGGTAAAACTGGGGAGAATTTAAGCCATGTTCTATCTCTTGTTCATTTAAATAGATGCACAAAACTAGTTTTGTATTTGCTGATCAATTCCATTAACACTTAATTTCTGTTTATGTAAGACCTGAAATATGCCTGGACTATTTGTACAGATAAAATTACGTACAATAATTTAAAATTGAGGGAATATTAAAGAGATGTTATATACCAGTGCAAAAAAATTAAAACATGGGTTATGATAAAAGATGCAATATGTTAATATAAGGCACAGGTAGTTTGAAAAGCAAATGGGTCTAAAAAAAATTAACTGATGACAATTCAACGTTTAGCCACAAAAAACAAATGCCAGGACTTTTCATGCAGGTAAGAATATGTACAATACACTGCACCTTAATATTGGGGAAATTTTAATGTGGTTTTTATATACTGGTACAAAAAATTAAAACAGGTTAGAAAAAAAGAAGCAATATGTGGCAGGGGCAAGTAATTTCATATCAAAGCAAATTTATTTTACTCAAAATGATTTGTCTGGTGACAATCCCTGTTTAGACTTTTCTGAAAAAAAAAAAAGACGTGTGCTAGACATGTGCTAGACAATGGCACCAACATTGTTCTACCACAGTTTCTGTCTGAAAAGAGTTACATACCCGAAGATACCAATCACTAGTAGTGACATTAGGATTGCAGATTTGGCAGGCATCACTGGGGTTTTGTTCCTCATTATTATAGCATTTACCATTTATGCTACATGTTCCATTCTGAAAATAATCAGATAAATTTTATCATAACTAATTTTGGACAACTCAATATGTTCATTATATAATGCTTTGCAGACACATGTGGTTAGAGAATGCACTTCACATACCGTACAAGTGTGGTTCAATTGCTGGTCGAAAAAGGATTTTGGCAGCAAACAAGATGCATTCCAGTTGCATCTGGCCCATTTGAGGCACATGCAGAACATTCTGACAGGATTGGAAGTGTCTTGCCATTTCGGTTCACCCTTGATTGTGATCAGAATGTTTCGAATGCTGTTGGAATGCCGTAAGAATATTAACAATGAACTCATAGTGCAGTTAGAATGCACTTCCAATGCCAGTTAATATTTCTCTACTTGGGATGCACTTTGCAAATTTTGAGCATGAGCAAAACATTCGGACCGGACTCAAGAATGGGTCCATATATTTGAAATGCACTTAGAATTTTTAGAATGCACTTCAAAAATCCAGGAATATACAAAGAATTTTCATTCCAATGACATTCTAGCTCATTCCAAATTTAGTGTGACTAGGGTATTACAGATTGAATGATAATGTACTATTTCTTCAGTTATACTGAAGATAATTTTTAAACATACATGAAATGGTTATCTGTTCATTACTTAAACATACTATTTTCATTAAGAGAACTTAAAACATACCTTTATTCACAAGTTTGTTTTTATTTTGGTGAGTATATAAATGTATCTTGTTACCTTTAAGTGGCATTGTGATGGCCCATCACATCTGTAGCATTTAGAGTCATACACAGCCACTTTCAGAGGATGACTGTAGTTGGTACCACTGTTACTGATGCTGATATTGTAAACCTTGATCACTTCATCACTACTGATATCACTCCTCTTTTGACGTAATTTTGGGAATGGGCAGATCACCTCTTCTTCATGAACGAACTCTGCATCGTTATATTCAGTAATCACACCAGATGCCTAGTGAAAAAGTTGAGAAACGGTAAAATATTTCTGAAAATATTGTAACACCTTGCAATTACAAGTATCTAGCCAATTTAAATAGTTAATATTTTCATAGATTATGTATTAGATGTAAAAAACTTGCAACAATTGCAACTTACCGTGAGATGTTCTGTTTTACAAGACAGGTTTGATGACTGTACAAACGGGCCTCCATAAACTGGAGTTTCAAGACATGGTCGCTGAGATATGTCACAAAGCCCATTTGTTGGCATATAATATAAGTCAGGAATAGTATCCCTGCTGATAGAACAATCACTTGATACATACCCTGGGTAACATTCACAGGAGCTAGTACCTAAAATGAGTGAAAATGTACCTGTATGTAGTCTGGAATGAATATGATGTCTTTAAGTTCAAACTCTACCATTCTAAAATAATCTTAATGAAAAACATCTCAAAGTAACAATATTAATAAAATAAATAGTTCCACAAATAGTGTCTACAGGAGACATTACAAAAACAATACCACTTCAAAAATAGTTAGATTTTAAACAATACTGAAGCTGAATAACAAGCTATTCCTCTCTTTCTCACAAAAATAAATTTTGGTGTGCCAGGCAAATGGTACTTAATGGTGAGTCCATTATTGTATCTTACCTGCGTAGAGCACTGGCACACTGTATACTCATTGTGGTCAAAAGGCCGTACGTAGAGGGGTTCCCATTATAGCAACTTAAAGTGAGGTCATCATAACTTGACCACATCCCTAGCACACCAGCCAGGGTTATATACATGTATATGAAAATAGTGAATCAGCCAATATAATATATAATATATCTTACCATTATTTCTAGTACATACACCATTGCTGCTGCAATCATTAGGGCACTTGATGACATCCAACTCTTCTGGAAGAGCAACCTCTCCTGTAGAGTTGTCAACTACCCAGTAGCTCTCATTTTTGGACAGTTCTCCAACACACATTCCCTTGATAGAATCGAGTGCTGCAAGTGCCCAGGCATTGTCTCCTGTCAACTAAAATTGTAAAATTGCAGGAATTGTAATTAAAATATTTTTAATTTGTGATGCACATCATCTGAGAAGCTGATGACAATATTTGTGGGTCTTGTGCCCCAGCCCTTAAAACAAGGGGCTAAGGTGGACACAATTTGATGCCTACAGCCACATGATAAAAAATGTGCAAGCAAATATCATGACAGGACTGTAATACAGTTACCAATGAAATTTTACTCCAAGTTAGAATGTATTAAAAGTCTCTCAGTAAAGAATAATTTTACCAACATGTATGTCATCCTTGCATCCTTTGAGTGCAACTTCATAATCCACATTCTCTACTGCTTGACAAGCTTTCCCAGCACTGCTGTTATATATATAATTACTGCAGAACTCATCTGCCTTAGCTTCTGTCCAACCATTCTTCCATTCTGGTTCCTATATAAGTTTTAGAGATAAAACCATCCACAATTAATTTAATTACATTACCATCTAATTAATTTAATTAGCATCTACAATTAATTTAATTAGAACAAACAGTAATATATAGATTCTGGGTGAGGTGATGTTAGGGATATATTTGACCCAAAGTTGGGACGATTGACACTAGAGCAGTATATTTTGCATTTTTTTCACTCCACTCATGCATATTTAATGTTATGAATGTTATTAATGCTTCTTACCTCTATTCTGTCATCTGCATTATATTCAAATTTACGTATCTCAAATATTTCGTCATGACTAGCAGCAGCTCTTCTTTTTCGACATTTTGCAAGTTGTTTCACTGAGTAGCTGTTGTCTGAAGCACACTTTGCAACATTCTCTGTGTAGCTACAATCCAGTGGAAGAGAACTGTTAAACACAATCTGGTCACCTGTGGTGGAGCATCTGCAATACTCTGCTTGAATGAAGGTCACATTGGAGGATGTTGGGATGCCATTATACATTGAATCTGACGCATCAGATACTCTGAAATTTTGACATTTTTAAAAAATCATTTTTATTCATGGACCATAAATAATTATTACAAGAGAGAAATGTTAATATTAAATAATTATAATGAATAACTTATAGAAAATTTTGACATAAATTGTCTTTCCTAACATAACAGACCAGAAGTACCATGTGTATTCCAAGGAATAGTAAAAGGAACATTTTTGCCTTTTTGCCAATTGTTGCTTGCCAAAGCGTGAAATGTGATTCACCTCCATGACAGTGAGAAATCATTGGGGTACAATGAGATAGGGTCTGTTGTACCATCACGTCGTAGAAAATCATCATTTTTGTTTCCATTCAGAGTTCCACAGAGCCCTACAGTAGATTCTACATCCCTAGACCCTGGGTGAATGTGGATATTCATGTAATAGTCATCTATGTAATAATATGATCTGGCATATACATAACCTCCTGTTGGCAAATATATCTGAAATATATATCCAAAATTATTATGACTAGATGCACAATGAAACCAAATTTAATTGTTAGTTGATTTTTACTTATGGTACTATTATTCATCTCAGTCGATACCAGAACAACTGACTCTGAACTATGAACTGCCCCAAAGACTATAAATGTTTGCCAAATAGTTAAGACAATTTATTTCCTACAGGAAATGATAACAATGAGTCAAATTATAACAGAGAAGTTTTGATTTGGCTAAATGATAAAATTTCTGTTACTGTTAGTGCAGATGATACATGTAGCTTGAATTGCAAACCAGTTGTGTAAGTATCATGAATAAGCATTTAAAATAAAGCTCAAACCTTAAAATCTTTTGCATTATTAAATGACTCCACTCTCATTTGTCCATGTTCACAACCCAAAAGTCCTGAACGCATTGGTTTTTTAATGCCCTTAGTTGTTTGAGACCCTGTTCCAGCTCTACATCTGTCGAAAATAAACAGATCGCCCCCAGACATGACTGTGACAGCACAAGGACAAAAAGCACGTCCATTATTACACTTTTTGAAGAAACCATGCACCTGTAAAGAAATTAGAATTATCCATACCAGGTTAGAATATTTGTGAAAATTATTGCATTTGTAGAAAAATTAATATGCCAACACATTCTTCATTCTCAATTGTAGATACAACAATACATACAAGATGAAATATAGAAATTATAACAAAACTGGAACTGATATGAAAAAATGGTGAGAAACAAAAGTACATTTGATGTCACAAAGGATACATGTACCAGTCACATCAAAGGGTATTAATGTAATCATACAATGTAATCATACCTGGATTGGCAGAGTTTGGTGTTTATACATTATGAATTCTCCTGGAAGCTGGCATTCATATCGACTGAAATATGTAAAGAATATTATACTGGTATGTAGAAATTCTTAAAAACAGGTTTCAGAAATTTATTGAAGAACATTATAAAAGAAAAGAAAGGAAAAATGCCACAAATCTTTTATCTAATCTGTTAGCTTTGAGAAGACATACCATATTTTATCATGGCAAAAAAAGTAACATGTTAGCACCCAGAGTTTCAGGGATCACAGCAAACTCCCCGCTATAATAAGCCGATAGTGAAGAGTCATTTCCAGAAATCTCTGCAAGGGTGCATTACAAATATGTTAATATATGTTATATATATATATATATATATATATATATATATATATATATATATATATATATATATATATATATATATATATATATATATACACCAAGGGATTAGATACAAAGGATTGATCTTGTCTTGAAAATCTGGATTTTGATAGGTCAGAATAAAAAGAGAGAGAAAGAAAAGAGTCCAATATGTTGGTTATTGTTAAGGGACTGGGTTAGGATCATACTCTGAGATGCTGATAGAGGAGCTGACATGGAAGGCATTTTCTCAATTTAAAGAATTGTATGATTGGAGCTACGGTATCTGATTCCTTGCAGTAACATACAAATCACATCATAAACGATACTTACACACCATCAAAGGTCATCATATGTGGGTCACTGTTTGCCATACACACAAGTCCTTTTAAAGTCATGTCTGTATCAATCACCAATATCTATAAAAATCAGTCATTCTGTTTCAAGAAGCAATAATAATAAACAAATATTTACAATTCATATTATTTTCATTAAATTACTCCTTGGAAATATCATTTAAATGCAGTCTTTCCTTTTCTATAAGTAGCCATGCATGCAATTGAGTTCTGTAAAATTTGTAAAAATGTGTGGGCTGCAATATAATTAATTCCCTTTACAACCTCTTCACCTTTATCTCTCTCCCCTACTTACACACACACACACACACACACACACACACACACACACACACACACACACACACACACACACACACTCCACATTCAGGTTAGTTATGGTGCATCCAAATGAGACAGCAGGACTGTGAGCTTACTGGCTAAACTCTTTGATTGGTATTTGGTACATAATGAATTCATCATTAATGTAAAACCAGTTTAAAATACAAATAATCTTACTGGTATATCTGGTAGTCTGTAGTTGCTCCAGGCTTGATGAACATTAAACTCAGCTGTTGACAGCAGCACTTTGGTGATTTGGTCTCCATCATATATTCCATCTATGACTGGGGCTATTTTCAAGGTGACAGTTTTATTCCAGTGTTTAGCATTTATCTGTATACCACATGCCTCTACCACTGCCTCCTGTCTTTGACTAACTCCACCCTCTGATGGACACAGTGCTTGTTTCCACTGTTGTGGAATGCGGACTTCCACTTGGAGAAAGATATCTTCACAATAAAAGTCAAACACTGGAATGTCAGTGCATAGGATTGGCACTGTTGGTTGAAAAGCTATAATGGCAGGATTGGGATCATTTTCTTTTATTCTAATTGGAAAGTCACTTGAATTCAGCACCTGAAATAAAGATACATACAACAGCATGCATGCAGGCACTTAAAAACTACTTTCCATGCTCACTACATGTATAAATAGAAACAAATTAATAAAACAAATCCACAATCAATACTGCAGTTATAATATAATAAGAATATTGACTAATAATATAATCATATACTGCCTAGTGTACATGTACATAATGAGTAAACATCTACATGGAGTAATATTTATGTGTATGTTAAAATACATGTAAAAAGTTATTATTATTATTAAATTTCAACATGATCCTAACATAGTTTTGTATAAACCTTATTATTCTTCCTACCAATGCAATATTTACCTTTATACCTGCAAAAAACTCTGGACTTTCAACAGCCAAACTTCTGGCACCAACAAGTTCTCCATCTTGTACATACTTTCCCTTTACTCTGCATTTTACCTGGAAATTTAAATCACAAATTAAACAATGCTTTCTTTAAAATTTTATATGGCTTAGTTGAAGGTACATTAGATAAAATTCTGATACAAGCCATGGTCAGCTTTTAATAAAATCTCTTACAAAAAAAATGACCTTAAACATTATAATGTATGTGGCATCTGGACTAACAACATCCATAGGGGAGAATAACAATGCAGTGACATAAAGATATGATCCCAGACATAATTGGGTTCTGGTTCTGAATGTAGCCTATAACAACCATTAAAAGATCAAGTATACCTCACCTGAAAGCCAAGAGTAATGGATTTGCTGAGCCAGACACTTTCTCTGAGCTGAGCAGGCAAATCAGCCACATCAACGTTGTCTTCCTCATGGACAAGTTGTGAATTAATGTACCATTTCACATCAAAGAAGAGCAGAGACAGCTTGTCTGCAGGGACTTGATCATAGAAGGGCAGGCAGGTGAACATAAGCTCCTTTTTTGTTATATTTTCAAAAATATAACGTTCAACTCTTTCATCCACTTGAATGTCTGGTTGCTGTGTTATATTTGGGAAATTATCTAACAGAATGAAATACTTAATTAACATCATAAAACTGTTTATTTAATTTACTGTTATTTAATTTTATCAATATCATACTGCTGCCTATTCATTAAAAATATGTGTAAAATATATTCAAGAAACTCAATTTATCCATCTAAATATTTGTTTGTCAAGTCTTACACAAAATGCAAACTTTTTGATTTAATGTGCACAAATCATAAATAAAAATAAAGACCTAACCTGAACAACCTGGTTCAAAACCATCTTCTGATATAGTTCCTGGGGGACATAGTACCTTATCACCTAAATAAGTTGTAAAACAAATGAAGAAATACAAATTTTAAGTTGTCTCTTCCATGTGCAGCCATTTAAATTTTGCTGTTGTGTTTTATTATTTTTTCATCAGTTACATGCAATGCAAAAAATTGTTGCTTACCAACATGCCCATATATGAAATAAAGGCACACTTCAGTGGGTGGTGGTGTGTGCCAAGGTGGGGAAATGAACAAATTTTAGATTATAGTTACTTTATGTATACTAATAATTAGGTATCCTCATTATCAATAAAAAATTATGAGACAATCACTCACCTATACAGTAACGCTCAGAACACTGACTCACAGGTGGCAGATGATATACATTGTACGTAGAACAATTCTTTATCTGTATGTCATATGTCTTGGCACAACAAACAGTGTTATTCTTCACACATACAGTACCATTAATGACACCATCATCAGCGGAGGGTAAGGAACCTGTGAAACAAAAAATGTGATAGAGGAAGTGCATTGAATTCAATGTCCCAAATTTAGTACTAAATTGCAATGTTTATTTGCTATTTCCTGCTCTCCACAATGAATGTATTATTATTATTATTATTATTATTATTATTATTATTGTTGTTGTTGTTGTTGTTGTTGTTGTTGTTGTTGTACCTACCATTCAGCCATATGGGATTATCTGTACCACAGTCTCCTTCAAAATGGCAGGTCACAGGCATATCATTTCCAGTTATCATGTCAAATCTAAACCAACCCTCCTCTATTTTATCATCACATGCTACTGCTTCAATGGCATTCTTATGGTACATGGTACTCCTTGATATGTCACCAGTGACACGTGTGCTAGCAAAGCATTCATCAATCTCTAGGGAAAAGAACGATTGTATTTAGTAGCCAACAGAAATAGAAATATAATATACATGTACATGAAAATGCATTTCTGTGTCCAGAGATGAGTGAATAACATTTACTTTATGATTGCCTATATACAGGAAAAAATGTATTTATTACCAGGTATGATGCACATGGATGACTGTAGAGAGTAAGAGCTTGATTTACGGGGGCATCTCAATAGTCTGAATTAAGGTTCATTGGTCCAAAGGTTCAATGGTCCAAAAAATGGTAACATTTTCATCTGTTCATTAATCAAGGGTTCATTGGTCTGAAGGTTCTATATACTAAACGTTCCGACCAATGAACCTTCGAACTATTGCTACGGCCCCTGATTTACTACAGGTAGTTCCTTTTACATAAGCAACATTTTCTCCTTTTCTCTTTATATAATTCTTTATATAAACTAACATAAAGTTGTTTTAGGAAAACATTTTCTGTACCTCCACAGGTGTCCACATAGTCTTCACAACAATCTCCTGCTTTAGTGCAATGTTCATCACAAAAACAGCTGCGTAATTCCACCTTACAGGAACTGTTTTTGCCAGAGCAGCAGCCCAGTTCAGAACAGGATATTGGGTATTTGATCTCACACAAAACTCCCTGTAAAGAAATTCTACAGTCATGCCAAAGACCAGTAATGGTATCAATACACAGATATGGCTGAGTAGATGGATCTTCAGGCTGACCAACTGCCCAAGATATGACTGCCGGACTTACTGGTTCTCCAGTAAACCACACCCATTGTTCTGTATTGTAAGTTGCTCCCATCAGTAGGATCTGTTGAGGATAGGTACCTAATGGAAACAAAAAGACTGATAAACTACAGTGTAATGCTTCATTTAAAATACCGCATTTCAATAAAACTATATTATAGTTTATTGAAACTATATTACTGCTCAAACTACTAATTTGTGCAAAGTACCAGTACTAGTATATGCATGGAGCAGTGCCACATTTTGAGGTACTGCTCCATGGCACTGCATGCGACTGCAAGATTAATTTATTTCTATGTATTTTTTTTCTTTTTCATTTAAATGTGTCAAAAACCTTTGAGTTTTTGTTAATATTTATCTAATTCAACTAAATTATTCTATTGATAAATCTTCCTCAACCACTCTTTATATTGTTACAGTAACTGTTATGGAGTGAAGAAGAATATTTAAGCTCCAGTGCAGCATGCAGAGGTCTCAGTACCAGCATGAGTGTGGGAACATTTCAGCACATTATATGCTCTTTATAGTTCCAATCTATACTTACTTCGTAGACATATTTCGGTCAGTAAAGTGCTTTCTTCAGTTGTGTCAACTAAGACTACATCACCTCCAATTGACTGACATGTCTGCCTTGCACTCTGAAATGTTGTGAAACTAGGATCCTCGATGTAGCAAGTGTTCTCACTGCACTTCTCAAAATATGGCACTGGAAATTAAACAACATACAACAAAATTCATTCCCAGATAGTAATTTCAAAATTCAATACATTTTTTGATCATTTAATGAATCTATAAGTATATTCAATTTATTTTTGGTTCATGTAAATGTATCCATTTCCCCATTCTATGTAAAACAGGTACATATAACAATAAAATATTTTATTTTCCTAAGCATTCTGAGGCAAATATATATGCTATAGTACCTCCTGCTCCTATATCCAAAGAGTTTGCACTACAAATGACTCCTGCATCTTGTGAATGTGTGCAGCCTGTTGTGTCCCCCCAGTCACTGTGTCTACAACGGAGCAGGGATGTCTCTCCCTCGTCACAGTCAACATCTGACAGCCATATTACACCTGAATGAGACCCAAATGATCCTCCACTTGCCACTCTGGACCCATAAGATCTTTAAAACATATGACATGCAATTTGTTTATTCAAAAATTGAGTTTTTGATACATGTTCTTCTAAAAACATTCTTTTTTCTGAGTTAAAAGCTTAGATAAGTTTTAAAGTTCATCTCGCTGGAGTCGAATGGGCCATTTAGAATAGATGATCCGAGTACTAACTGATCCGCTGACTAAATATGGCCGACCCCACTTCAAAAGCAGTGTGGCTGTGTAACAACGTGACTCCAAGATGGCGTGGTGTCGTCAAGCGTCTTTATTACATAACATAAACAGGTCATACAATTAACGACATTATGATACATCTTCCTTTTTTTTACAATAAAAAATGTTTCTAAATAAAGTATCTTATGCTTTAATCTACATTGTTTGTTCTCCTTATCTCAATAACTAAACAATGTCTTTTAACACTCTTCAATAAGTCTCTTTGGTTTAACAATGTATCTACCACTACGAGTCTTGACATCAGGCAGAGTTACAACTTGTGGCATAACATTAACTTGTGCCTCTAAAACAAAATAAGTCAGCTCCTACTTTTGTCAGCTCCTACTACGATAAAGCCCTTCCTCACAAACAAAGGGTCCAGCGATGGAAACTCCATCATGATACGAACAGAAAATGCCATTGAGACTAAGCCGCAGGAAGTAGCCAATGTGATGAACAATTTTTATGTGAATATTGCATCGCAGATTGGGGGTAACCTTGATCTAGATCAAGGGATGACCTCCAATACAGACTTTGTACAACAGTGTGAAACTTACTTCACTGATCATCCAAGTGTGCAAAATATCAAATCTAGTATGAACAATTGTGATTTCACTTTTGAACATACCACACCAGATGATGTAATGAAAATCATTAAGGACATGGACACTACTAAGGCAACAGGTTGGGACAGTGTACCACCGAGATTACTGAAACCTGTAGCTACATGCCTTAGTCACCACATCACGTCAATCTACAATCAGTGTGTCGATACTTGTGTATTTCCGGATGGTGCCAAACTTGCTGAAGTGGTGCCACTCTTCAAGAAGGATGACAATCTTATCATGAAAAACTACAGGCCTGTTAGTATCTTGCCTGCTTTGTCCAAAGTACTGGAGAAGATACTTCATCATCAGCTGGCGCCTTTCCTTCAGCGGATCCTGGATCCCAGGATGGCCGCTTATAGGAGAGGATACAACTGCCAGTATGTGCTTCTTCGCTTGATCGAGGACTGGAAGCAGTCCTTGGAAAATCGCAACCACGCAGGAGCCATCCTAATGGACCTGAGCAAGGCGTTCGACTGTTTGCCGCACCAGCTCATTATCGCCAAGCTCAGGGCCTACGGCATGTCGCAAAAAGGTTGTGCCTTGATATGGGCGTACCTTTCGTCACGCAGTCAGAGGGTTAAACTCTCTGGACATGTCAGTGATTGGCTACCGCTG